ATCGGGATCTTTCGAGGTTTCAATGAAAAAATCTTGGCCCTGGCAAATAAATGCAAATTTCCTCTTAAAATAATTTTCAATGATGATTACAGGATTTTAGAAATGATTTGAGTTGTTTTTAACTATCGCATATTTCCTAAAACGCCCATCAAGTCATAGAAAATTACTTTTGGTATCTGCATATTAGCTCCTAAACTTTATCGAAATTATGGCTTAGGCACATTTCATAATTGATCATATTTATGCCTCATTAACAACTTAAAGTTACATAATCCATATTTTAAATCAAATATTGAATCATATTAATTGAGAATATTGATGAAATATTCTAACAGTTGATGCTTACACAACCATTGAGAAACAATGATTACGGTATATTTAGATTAATCAAATAAAACTACGATGAAGGAAAAGTCAATTTTTGTATCTACGGATTTCTTGCCATTTTTTTTAAAAAATATAGGTATTTTATTGTTAAATATAATAAATACAGAGTTTAATAGCATAACAAAAATATAGAGTTAAAATTTAGAGGAAAGAAAAGTATAGAGTTTTTAATAGATTTTTTCCAAAAATAAATATTCAATATAAACCGAATATTACTATTAATTCGAATATTTGATTTTACAAACACATTAAAAATCATACAGAAGTGAATTACGAACGTGAATTCCTTGGATGTTGGTGATTATACGGGTTTTATATAGACTTATTAACGTCATGCACATCGTTTTGACATATATTCTGGGGATTTTAGGACGTTAGTTGGCTATAATTTTGGCCCTTTTCCTTCAATCTCTTGCAAACTGACATTTACAGAAATTCTCACGGGACGTAGAACGAAAAGAACACAATTTAGAGATCCGAAAAACTTAGACAATTTAGGTGGGTCGCTCGTCTAAATGAGAGCTGGCCCCAAACAATATGCTGGAACAAAACGGCCGACCTATTGCAATAAATGAGCGACTGCTTGAAATGTTGATGATGAAGCCGAATGAGCGGACACCAGAGAGATCAAAGAAGAAGAAAAAATGAGTGCCCGCCTAACTTAAATGAGTGGCACCTGAAAATGGTATTTCAGCATTTGGCACAAAATAGAAAAGTCTGTTTAAGAGGAGAAAAAACCTAGTTTTTTTTTGGTTAAATGCAAATGTTGTATTAAATATCCGGCCGAGCGTCGACTATTCACAAGCTGTCATTTGACAGATTACAAAAAGACAGTCCAAGATTCCCATGAGAACAAAAAAAGGTAAATACAACAGCCATTAAACTGAGCACAGCCAAGAGGCTATAGAGTATTCGCATACCAATTCTAGAGGAGCAAGTTGCTGGAGGAATTTTGCCGGAGACTTGAGAATAGAGTGTCGCACATCGTTTTGTCAACGAAGGCGATGAACTGCTGGGTTGTTCTTGCCGAGTTGTGGTGAGTTCTTCTTTGGTTACGTTCCCGCCACAGCTCGTAAGCTATCAGTTGCATAAGCTATCAGTTGCATAAGTCCCCTCATCACTCGAAGATACGACCTGTTGAGAGTCCGCCTGCAAGTGTGAGGGAGACACGAAGTTGAAGCGCGCAGCGAACGATTCCCATACCTCCTTGCTGAAGGAACAAGAGAAGAAAGGATGTGAATGACTCTCAGTCGCTGCACAACATAGGATGCGTCTATTTGGTAGCTGAATCCCCCAAGATTGCTGCCGATCTAAGGTCGGTAGACGTCCCTGAATAGCATGCCACATTAGGAAAGCAAGGCGAGGTACAGCTTCAGAAAACCACACCAATGAATGCCAAGAAACTTGCGGGGCTCGGCTCCTGATTTGTTGCCATATTTCTTTCGAGTTGAAGAATGGTCGGAAGACGTCATCCTTATGCTTCCACAACACAATGTCTGATCCACTATCAAGCCTCAGTGGTTCTATTGCAGCCAATGCCTCTTGTAGTTCCTGGATCAGGCCTGTTCTAGCACTAGGGAGTTTTCAGCTATTTTCGCAGACAGCAACACATACCTTAGATGAACGATGCAACCCAAGAAGGCAAGGACCCAAATCCCAGATGGTGTCAATGAGAGGTCCCAAGTTCAGCCATTTGTCGAACCAGAAAAAAGTTTATGTTCCATCCCCAATCTGATTTTTGACAAAGGGTCGCACTTGGTCCTTCATCTGCAGGAGTTTCTTTAGGTTCCAGGAAGCCACCGATGTCTTTGTGCAATCCCAGAAACTGCGGTTCTTGAAAACATTTTCACGAACCCAAGCTACCCAGATGGGTTTTGCTTTTTGTCAAAAGGGAAAGCGGCGGAGACTGAAAGAGGACTTGGCCACACTTTCAAATAATCATCCTTGGAGAAGAAGTTGGAGCTTGAGAAGCAAGGGAGTGATTTGAAGAAGTATAAAGATCATACCTCACCATTGAAGACCATATAAACAAAAACGATAAACACACACTTGAATATGTCATCACATTTGCGCAAAATTAACTGGTTATAGTCTTCTAGTTTTTTACACACTTTTATACTTAAAATCAAATGGAAGAAGTGTACGAATATTCTGTGTTTTTTAAACTCCGTTAACGTCGAAAAAAAAAATGAGAGAGCTCTTTCTCTCTCTTACTTTACCAACTGGGAAACTAAATCACCGCACCTACTTTCTCTGGCCGGCCATTGGCCGGCCAGAACTTCATCCATGGCGCCCCGCCTCCGTTCCTCTTCTGCTCCACCATCTCCAGGGATCCTGGGCCCTCCACCAACAAAAACTCTCACCCCATTTCCTTCGGCGAAGTCTCTCTCTAATGGAGCTTCGACTCATCCCTCTTCTTCCCCCCCAAAAAAATCTTCTTTCTCTATGCCGACGGAGCCCCTCCCTAGGGTCTCCCGACGAAGACCCCCACTCCTTCCTCCTCTCCTAAAGCTCTTGAAGCTTTACTCTATGAGAACTCTTTTCCGCCTCTCACCTCGAAGGGTCGAACCCCAAATTCTCGCATCCTCCTTCCTCTACCACGGAGGGTGTCGAGCGTTCTCTTTCTACTGGGCATAACAACGTTCAAGCAACCACAACTCAGACTCTGCCTACAAGCTGGAGTGAAAAGGTACAAAGTTCTATCAAATTCCTTCAATGTGTAGGTACTCCTACCACTCACAAGAGTGGAATCACTACAAGAAAATTCTCGTATAGCTACGGAACTTGCGACGGATAATTCCGTCGCATACAAAATTACGACGGAATACGACGGTTTAGCGACGGGATGCGGAAAAAAATTTTATGTCTCAAAGAGTCGTAAAATCCGTCGAAAATTTGCGACGGAATGCAACGGAGATGTTGCCGTCGCAATAATAAACATTATTTGCGACGGAAATTTCCATAGCAAATGCTAATTTTAATTATTTTTAATATAATTTATTTATTTTTCAGAATTAGCTACGGATTTGCGACGGAAATTTCCGTAGCAAATGCTAATTTTAATTATTTTTAATATAATTTATTTATTTTTCAGAATTAGCTACGGATTTGCGACGGAAATTTCCGTCGCAAATACTAATTTCATTTATTTCGTTATTTTCGATGAAAATTTTCAAATTTTCGCGGTTTTTATTTCGTTTTGCGACGGATGGCGACGGAAATTTCCGTCGCAAATACTAATTTCATTTATTTCGTTATTTTCGATGAAAATTTTCAAATTTTCGCGGTTTTTATTTCGTTTTGCGACGGATGGCGACGGTAATTTCCGTCGCAACACGAAATAAAAGCACCGACTTCGTCTTCTTTCTTCAGACTTTGAAGTTTCCAAAAAAAAAA